ACACCCCTATAGTTATTATATATTTGATGTTTGAAGTAATAAGTTTTGATTTGTGTGTTTTTAAGCCTGTGCCGTACCGCAGCATGATCCCAGGAGGGATGTACCCCAAGAGAACCATCGTCATTAGAGGCATGGTTCCTTACGGAGCCACCAGGTGTGTGTTCGTCAGTGTGAGCGCTGCAGTCGTTGCGTCGAACGAGAACTAACGCACCTTGAGTTGCAGAATGGGGATCAACTTGGTGGTAAGCCGGACCCGAGACATCGCCCTCCACATGAACCCCCGGGTGAAGGAGGGCGTGGTGGTGAGGAACAACAGGACTGGAGAGACATGGGGCGCTGAGGACCGAGAGCTCTGCATGAACCCCTTCATGGAGGGACAGTACTTCGATGTAGGAAACCTTCCCACACATTTATTTTATATTTGAATACTTCATCCACAACAATACTTATTAAAGCCAGTGGTAGGCACCAGGTAAATACAAGGTGTGTAACCGGTACGTATGTAACTGGTATGTAGCGATTAAACTCCTAGTACTTGCCTACTACGTATCAAGTATCAATGACATAGAGGTTTTATAACAAAGTAATGACATGTACCATGTATTTACCAGGTACAGCTGTTTAGTACTATGACCACACCCTGTAAGTACCAAGTAACAGGTGTGTCACAGATACTTACTGTAGTTAACTGGTACATACCAAGAACTTACCAGGTACACAGCCAATATGTATGTATCTAGTAAAGTATCTGGTATGTAGCAATAACACTCCTAGTACTTACCTACTATGTATCAGGTGTATACGATGACCAGGCTGTATTACGAATGGTAAATGGACTGTACTTGTATAGTGCCTTTCTAAATTATTTCAAGGTGAATATTATTATTATATTCATTATGAATAAAAAAGTACTCTGTAAGCATCTGGTATGTACCAGATAAGTAACAGGTACTCAACTCCTAAATACAATGTAACTAATATCAGGTACAGACCTGGTACTTGTTACCCTGTGCTTACAGTGTGTATACCTGGTATTTAGTGGCCAATTACTAGGTAGGAAACTATACGTACCAGTAAATTACAAGGTATATAACCAGTATCTGAGTACTTGGTTAAGTAACGGGTATGCGGCTTGTGTGTACCTACCATGTACCTGATTATGTACCTGATACAAAGCAGTTACACTCCATGTACCTACTATGTACTAGATACTTCTACAACAACCAGGTTGTATTTTATTTACTGGTACTTGCATGATACGTGTAAGGGGGGGTGGGGGTGGTACAGAGGCTAGAGAAGGTGAACCTGTGATCGGAAGGTCGCCGGTTCAACTCCCCGAACTGACACCATCAAAAAAAAGGTGGGTGGGAAAGGTGAAGCACCCACACCTGCCTCCATCCTCATTTGCCCCATTCTGGGCCCTTGAGCAAGGCCTTAACCCCCACCATTTACTCCCCCGGGCACCCTAGATGTCAGCTCTCTGCTCCACACAGAGGCTGTGGCAGCTCGGTGTCTGTGGTGGATCAGGAAGAACATCTGGCGTAAAAACAATTGTCAAGTCTTCGTACGAGTTAGTTCACTGTGGTGACCCCTGAAGAAGAGTGCAGCCCGGAAATAAATAAATACATACCAAGAACTACCCAGCAAGGTAACATGTACCAGTTGAATAACAATTACTTGTTGGGTATGTACAATGTAGGTAACTGGTGCATACCAAGAAGTGTAACTGGGATGTAGCTGTGTGTACCTGGTTAAGTACTGGTTATGTAACTCGTACTCAACCGGTCTGTCCGAGGTCCGTATTGATCCGATACATTTTGCTTTGGTTTTCTCTGTGGCTGAGTTTGTGGTTTGTGTTTCAGATGTCCATTCGTTGTGGGAACCAGAGCTTTAAGGTGTTCGTGAACGGGCAGCACCTGTTCGACTTCGCCCACCGAATGCCTTTCAGCGACATCGACAAGCTGGAGATCGAAGGCGACGTTCAAATCTCCTACATCCACTTTTGATTCCGCACAGAGCTGCACATGCTAACCACGCTAACCCACCTGCAGCTAACGCTAACCCACCTGCTGCTAACGCTAACACACCTGCAGCTAACGCTAACCCACCTGCAGCTAATGCTAACCCACCTGCTGCTAACGCTAACACACCTGCTGCTAACGTTAACACACCTGCAGCTAATGTTAACCCACCTGCTGCTAACGCTAACACACCTGCTGCTAACGTTAACACACCTGCTGCTAATGTTAACCCACCTGCTGCTAACGCTAACACACCTGCTGCTAACGCTAACACACCTGCAGCTAACGCTAACCTACCTGCTGCTAATGTTAACCCACCTGCTGCTAACGCTAACCTACCTGCTGCTAACGCTAACCTACCTGCTGCTAACGCTAACACACCTGCTGCTAACGCTAACCCACCTGCTGCTAACACTAACACACCTGCTGCTAACGCTAACACACCTGCTGCTAACGCTAACCCACCTGCAGCGCTCTGTGGCTCATAAACACATAATTTAGACATTTGACATAAATAAGAATAAAACTGTCTCAGAAAAGATGTTGTTGACATTTCTTTATTTCTTTTGTGAAAATTTTGTAGAAACTGTATAAAAATGCTAACAGATGCTGGCTGGGACCATAAAAAGACAAAGTTCAATATTCCCTAAAAAAAATAACATAAAACACCAGGAGGCGCAGTAAAAACGCAACATTCATTAAAAAATTCTGGGTCTTTGAAGGCACTTGGTAAAGAAATCCTCAGATTTAAGGCTGAGCTGCGTTAAATCATAAAAACGTATTTAAGTTCGTACTGAAAGGTGTAATAAACGTAAAAATCCTCACGACGTAAACAACCGTGCCGACGGTTTCTGAACTGCTTCTGCGCGTACCTTTTGATGCTCGCAAAGAAACGCAGCACTTTTTCTGCTCCCCAAACTCCAGTCAGTTCGTTCAGGAGTCGGAAGAACGACGATTTCACAACTTCGGATTATTTACAGAGAAAACCTGCAGGACCTGCGTCGTTTCTGTCGGGCTGAACCGTTTTCATGAAGAACTTCAGCAGAATTTACAAAAAAAAAACAATTCAAACAAAATAATTATATAAAAACATTAGTGCAAAGTTGTACAAAATCAAACCTCAGCATCTAAACTGTGGAGGAACACAGTGCTGGAGTTCTGCTGGGCTCCTCCGTCTGTACCTCTTTATCCGAACCTTTATGGTGTCAGCAGAACCTTCAGACCCAAACGAAGCCTCCGGTTTCTGAGTTCGAACACAGAAATTTAAACCAGGAGGAGCCCGAAGAGCAAAACGTCCAGGAGGAGTTTCTGCGACTCAATCTGGATCAGAACGACGCTCCGAGGAGGTCCCCGAGTTTTGTACCACGTTAGGAGCGTTTTATAAACTTTATAACAAAAAAATGCTTCTGGTGCTTTTAAAAAGTCTCAATATTTTACAACTCTGTCCTAAAACGAATCTTAAAGTCGACGCTTTAAGATGAAATGAGGTTTATTTCCATCAGAAGGAGCGGATCGCTCCATCCGCTCGGTTCTGTCTGTGGCAGTGTCTGAGCAGCTTGCAGCTTTAAAAACACAATTACTGACAGAGTTCGTTACAATTGTTTTATTGCTCGAAACACTGAGGTTCTGTTCACACCTGGCTCTGGGAACGGCCTCTGTGGGCGATGACAGGTGGTCCCAGGGTTGCCAGATAGAAAACGCTGAAACGCAACAATCGTATTTTGACCCAAACTGTCGTATGTGAGCGTTCTCGACCACGAGGTGAGGGGACGAGGTAAAAGGAGGTGCGATTATGGAACATTTGCGCAGGAAGGAGGGGGGTTGTGGATCTGGTGTGCTTAAGGTCCGGCTGGTCCGATCCGACGGCGGTTTGAGTGTTCATATAAATAAAGTTTTTTAGAGAGAATGGAAATATCAAAACTGTCGGACGTTTGAGCTTTTTTAAAAAACGGTTTAAGGTGTATCGAATGAACCGTTGAACTGTTGAATAAATGCAGTAACATCTGGCAACCCTGCCTGGACTGCTTTATCTGCAGGTTTTTGTTGGTCTGAACACAACCCGAGCTGAGCAGCAGAAACTGGACGACTCGGGGTTAAAAACGCCTCCGCTGCTGATAGTTGAAGATAAACATCCATCTTCTAAAGAAACAATGTCATTTGTTTAGATTTCTGCTAAAAGGTTTAAATGAGCACTTCATCAGAATCGGTCTCAGTAAACATGTCGGTTTTTTCTGGAGTTTATGGATCAGAGGACTGCAGGATGATGTTCGGGTCAGGCTCTCTTTAAGGTTGATCCGTTGTGGACTCACAGTGGTCATTATTAGCGTGAACGAGCTGTCAATCACAGAACATCAATCAGAGCAGAGCTGGGTTGAACTATTCTCACCTGAACATACCCAGAGCTGAAGTTGCACAGCTGACGGGTCTTTATGGGTTTTACAGATGAAACCTTCTGCCTCGGACATTTAGCTCTTTAAGTTGATAATATATGACTCCTCCCATGTCTCATTAGGAGAGTAAACAACAACAAAAAACACCTGACTCAAATCGTTCTGTGTGTGTTGGTATTTTACAGAACCATCAGCAAACCTGACAGCGCCTCTGTGCAACGGGGCTCGACGTCCGATCGCTAAAAGGTTTTGGGATTAAACTGACAAATGTGGAGGACCGTAGACACATCCATGGTGTCCCCCGCCTCTCAGGGTGGCTGCTGGAGACAGACACCAGGTCCACTCGACCCGGAAAGTTGAAATGGGTGAAGAAAAAGGATGGATGGATTTGACTGCCAGGTGTGACCGGTCTCAGTCAGCTGATCAGGGTCTGATCAGGGTCTGTCAGACCCTTAAAGGTCTCACTCAGAAATGTGCTTGTCGTAGCAAAGTTGGGTTTTAAAAAAAGGAGCAACTTTTACTTCCTTTGTGCAAAAACATGTTTGGTGAGGCACAACGCTTCTTGCAGTCAGTAGCAACACTCTGCAGGACTCTGGAGGACTCTTGGTCTTGTTCCTGGACTTGGACAGAACATGTTGGCAGTGGTTTCTGTTAAGAGTTCATTGTTCACTGCCAGGGCATTTTTCCTGACCCATCCAGGTCCTCCAGCAGCTCGGAGGTCGGGGTGCGGTTGGGAGTGTCGTGGCGGGACGGCTGCAGAGGCAGCGTGGCCGTGGAGGACGACACCGGCATGTCCAGGCTCTCCAGGGACTCGCAGAGGGTTCGGTTGGTCTCATGCTGCGGACAGAGGACGTAGCGGTTGGGCTGGTGGACTTCGGCCGTGGTCACGGACTCCAGTCCCTTCAGGAAGAGAGGTGACGAACCTCTGATGGGGTCGCGGCCGCCCACGGCCCCAAGGTCCATGGGAGATTCGTCCATGTTGACGTAAAGGATCTCATCTGGGTCCTGAGCATCCGGCAGGTCCTCGAGGGCCTTTTCCAGCTCGTAGCACAGAGTCTCGAAGGATGGGCGGTCCTTGGGACTCAGCAGCCAGCAGGAGAACATCAAGGAGTAGCTGCAGAGCACAAAGAACGAGTCAGAACGATGAACCTGATGTTTAAGGCATCACAGTCATGTTTTGTTAAGGAGACGACACTCACATGGAGTCCAGGCAGTCCGGGGGCTGTTTGAGACGGTTTCCTTGTCTCAGATAGTCGTAAATCTCGCTGTTCTCCACTCCGGGGTACGGCGTCTGCCCCCGCGTGGCGATCTCCCACATGGTGACGCCAAACGACCACTAAGGACAGACAGGACGACTGAACCTTAAATTCATTTAGACTCTTGTTGAAATACCAGAGCCTCGTGGGGTTTGGGGGGTGGAGGTTGGACGTCCTCCTTTGTGCATGAAGGGGTGTTCTTTTATTTTAAATGTTTTTTAGCCAAACATTTTGGGTTTGGCTAGCTATTTGCTACTCTTAGCTTTTTAGCTAGTGATTAGCTATTACTTTTAGCTAGGCTTCTGCTAAGTTTAGCTACCCTTTCCATATTTTAACTTTTAGCTAGATTTTTGCTAGAATAAGCTAACCTTTTGCTAATTTGAGCTTTCAACTAACTTTTTGCTGCTTTTATGTAGCTGTTTTGCTACTTTTAGCTAGTATGTTGCTCCGTTTATATTTCATTAAACCTATTACTACTTTTAGCTTCAAGTTAGCCTTTTGATAGTTTTGTTAATGTGATGCTTTTAGCTAGGCTTCTGCTACTTTTAGCTTTTAGCTAACATTTTACAGTGCTTGGCATTTAGCTAGTATTTTTCTTTATTTAGCTTTCCTAACTCCGTTTCAGTGTTTTCGGTGGTCGTTCAGGGTTCACTCGGGATTTTTACAGAAAACGTAATTTCTGATTTGGGAAGAAAACAGCAAAGATTTCGGCTTTGAATCAGATGGAATAATCTTCAAATGAGCTAAATGCGAGCTGATCAGAACCTCACCACGTCGCTCTTGGCGGTGTAAACCCGATCGGCTAAGCTCTCGATGGCGATCCATTTCACGGGCATCTTGGAGATCCGGCCTTGCCTGTAGTAGTCCCCGTTGTAGATCTTCTTGGAGAGGCCGAAGTCGGCCACGCAGACGTTCATGTTCTCATCCAGCCTGAGGGACAGAAGACAAACCAAAGTCACAGGAAGTGAGGCGTTTCGGCTGATTCACCACCAGAAGACGAGGCCACCTGCTAGAAAAAGCTAAAAGAAATCAGCGTTTTTACACCAAATCTGGAAACTTCCTGCAGCTTAACTTCTTTCAGAAAATCTGCTTTAATCCTGACGTGACGGAGGAAAAAAGAGCCGAAATTGAGCAGCTAAACCTGAAAGAACCAGAAAACTAGTAAAAACTAAACAAGAAAAGAACAGTAGCTAAAATTAATCAAACAGAAGCTAAAAGACAAATGCAGCCACATCTAGCTAAACCTAAAAGTGGTAAAATGTTAGCTAAACAAGAAAATAATAGTAGCTAAAATTAATCAAACAGAAGCTAAAAGACAAATGTAGCTGCAAAGGCAAAACCTAAAAATAAAAGGCTAGATAAACAAGAAAAGAACAGTAGCTAAAATAACAAATAACTAGCAAAAAGCTGCTAAATGAATGAATTGCTAAATGCAGCAAAAGACTAGCTAGAACGTGAACACATGAAAAGTCTTGCTAAAAGTAGCTGAATATTAGCTAAATTCTAAAAGTATCAAAAGTTGTTTAAAAAAAGAACAGCATATAAGATAAACAGCAGGTAAAATAAATGCAGCAGGATGTGGCTAAATCTAAAAGCAGCAAAAGGTTAGCTAATAAAAAAGAACAAACTCTAAAGTTAAAATTTTTAAAGTTGCAAAACAGTAGCTAAAAAACAAAAGTAGCAGACTAGCTAAAGGTAGCAAAAGGCATTATAAAATATAAAAAAGCAGCTAAAAGTTAAAAAATCTAGTTAAAATATAAAAGTAGCAGAATATAGCTAAAAGCTAAACTTGGCAAAAGGCTAGCTAATAGCTAAAAGCTCAAAGTATTAAACAGCTTGCAGCAGAATGTTAGCTAAATGCTAAAATTAGACAAGAAGACAAAATTTAAGCCTGGAATTAAAAGATGTGAAAAGATCTTGATGTATTTCTTTGTGGAAAATATTAATAAATAAAGTAAAATTGTTTAAAATTGATAAAATCAAAAGTCCCGGCAGCCGTCTCGTGACAGAGCTGAACGTTTTGACACATGAGTCACTAAAACAGCTCAAAGTAAACGGAACAAACGAACAGAGAAACAAAAAGTGGAACGATGACTTCACCCGACAAGAGCAGCGACAGGAAGTGAAACAGCTAAAACAGGAAGTAGTTCTCACATGCAGTTGCGAGCAGCCAGGTCTCTGTGGATGAAGTTCTTGCTGCTGAGGTACTCCATCCCTCGGGCGATGTCCGTCATGAACTTCACCAGCATCTGGGACGGGAGGAACTGCGGGACAGAACAGAAGCGCCGGTGTTAGTTCTGGACCCCAGGCGGCGCCAGAGTTCGTCTTCAGCTGTGGGAACGTTCCCACTCAGCTCCACCTTCGGCTGCTTTACAAAGCCCAGTCCGGGTCTCGTTTCTATCAGAGTCTGAGTTTCTCAGCGAACGTTGGCAGCGCTTGAATCATAAACTCTTCATGCTTTAAGGAGTTTGAGCTCACAGCAAAGAGCCGTCACGTTTTGATGATGTCAGAGCCCGCGTGCAGCCAGAGAGGCGTGGACGGAGGCAGAATGTGTTGGACGGTGTTCTGCTGAACTCTGTGTGTGGGTGCTGGACTGACCACAGGACTGTCCCCGAGCCTGGAGTACAGCAGGTAGCTGTGCAGGTCTCCGTGCTTCATGTAGGGCAGGATGACCACGGGCGACGGGTAACCCTCGCTCTCCACCGTCTGCAGACACACGCCTGCAGGAAACAAGTTGGTGCACGTTTAGGGAGGAATTTTCAGGGTTCACAGCATCAGGGCTGAGGTTTGTCCTTCAACCCCACACGCATCAACTTCAGACTTTTATTTTGAAACGATCAAAGATGACAAAACGTTTTGATGGAGAAACAGAAGAAGAATCTCAAGAAACGTCACAGCTGTGTCCGTCTCTGCCCGACAGCACTCCTGATAAGACAGGCAGACAGAAACAAAACCTCCCACAAAGATGTGCAAAAACTACAAGTCGCGTAAAAACCGTTCGCCCGAAGCGCCTTTATTTATTTTTATTATATATTTATTTATAATGAGAGTTTGGGTGAGTGTCATCGGACAGGATTTGACGTACAGTAGTCCCTCTTCACTACTTCGCAGATGGTTTATCGTGGACTCGCTCTATCGCGGTTTTTCAAAATAAGATTGGACAGAACAGACAACTGGCTGATTGATGGATGAGCCGCGCTATCGGCATGAAATTTTTATTTAAAATAAATTATTTAAAATTATTTAGCACCTGCTGCACCTTTGTGCAGTCCACACTGCAGGATAAACTTCCTGCTGCAGCTGATCAGCTGTTCTCTGCAGAGCGGAGAAGTGGGCGTGGCCAAGAGAGCTTACAGGTGGCAAAGAGCAGAAATTATGATATTCTGTCTCTTTTAGAGCTTTAGAGTTTAGAAACATTGTTTAGAATATTGCAAGAGTGTGGGAAGGATTTAAAACGCCTTCATATATATATATATATATATATATATATACTATTCCTACTTTGTTGTTTTCCACGTATCGCGGGTCTTCAGGGTACGGATCCCCCATGATGAATGAGGACTACTGTAGTCCTACAGCAGCGAGAGGCAAAAGACCAAAACACTTGTTTTAATTGTAAAACATGTTTAAAAATGGTCTAAACAGGAAGTGGTAGTTTGAAAACACAACAGAGTGTGATGTCATGCAGTTGGGGGTAAAATCTCCATAAAACAGATCGAGTCGTAAAAGAGCTCTAAATGTCCGCCGGCTCGTTTAAAGTCCAACTTCCTGCGAGTCGTTTAACTCCAGATGACCTGGATCTGGTTGACCTGAGTGAACGGGTGGGTGGAGCTTAAACCGTCAGAACCCTCCAACAGTCAGACTAGAGCTGAACAGCCAACATGATGTCGGACTCACCCAGAAGCCTCATGACGTTGGGGTGGTCGAACTCCTTCATGCAGGCAGCTTCACGCAGGAAGTCCTCCATCTCTGAGCGCGTGCAGATGGCGACTGGAACAGCGAGGGTTTACAGGTGAGACTGGTCTGAGCAGGTGACTCAGGCCGACATGTTTTAGCTCCTGGCTTTAACGTCGTGCTGTTTTCACTCAAAATCATCTGATTTCTACTCGTCTGCTCTCTGACTATAAAAAACGAGATTTGTCTCAATCGCGTGTTGATTTTTGAGCCGAGGAGCTGAAGGGATGCGTCGTGGAAAAGGTTTGAGGCGTTCGCTCACTTTTCATCGTCTTCACAGCAACTTTGAGCACGAACTCCTCCTGAGTCAGCAGCCCCTCCATCACCGAGCCGAACTCCCCTGGAGACAGATGAAACACCAAACGGCTGATCAAACCCTGCACCACAAAACAACCGGATTATAACCTTCAGCAGATGCGCTGACGGGTTGAAAAAGAGTCGTCTGTTTTATGTTCACGTCTGCAGATCGAGTCCTTCAACCAGATTTCTGGAGAAATGTCGGCCTGAAAACAACTCTTTTATGTTCTAAGCTTTCAAAATGGCCGACATTTTGATGTGTAAACTGTGAAGGTGCAGCCACGGTTACCACACACCTGTGTCTGTCACTCCCTGACAGTGCCCTTAATAAGACAGGCAGAAACAAAGACTAGAAAGTAAGCCTCAAACAAACAAAAACAATTACTGTATTTTCCAGCCTACAAGTCGTATCAGTCCAAAAATGTCTAATAATTTGAAAAAATCAATAAATACGTTGTTTGCCGTATAAGTCGCATCTATTATGTGTCACCACTGACAACCTGGAAATGTGGGCCGGTGTGCCAAAGACCAACTGGCTGCCAATTGGCGGCCACAGGAGCATGCACGGGAGGACTTTTAACAATAATTTAAGAAGATTAACACTTAAAACAATTATTTGTTTGCTCAAAATTATAGCAAAGTTGTGTCTCAGTTGAACTTTTACTTAATAAATGCACTT